CCCCCTTATATGCTCACCCCCTTACTTGCTCAGTCCCTCCCATTATATGCTTAGTCCCCCACTTATATGCTCACCCCCCTTACTTGCTCAGTACCCCACTTACTTGCTCAGGGCTCAGTCTCCCCCTTACTTGCTCACCCTTACTTAGTTGCTTACTTGGTCAGGCCACCCCTTGCTACTTGCTCAGCCCCCCTTACTTGCTCAGGCCCCACCCCCCCTTACTTGCTATGCTCTTTTCTCCTCGTGCTTTTCTCATGGTTCTCCTCAGTGCTCACTCTGTTTCCCTTGCTTGATCTGTGTCTTCTTCTCAATGTTCTTGCTCTGCTTTCTGCTGCTTACGCTCTGCCTCTAAGGTATGGCCCCATGCCGCGCGCCGCAATGTGCGCTCCCGCTCTTCTCCGCTCCCTCCCTCACTCTCCCTCTCTATGGTCTCCAGAGGTCGGCACTACACAGGGCGCCAGTGAGCGAACAGCCGAGCCACCGGAAACAACTAAAATCATCAGGGAAGTTCTGACAGAGAGGTGAGACTCTCACATCACGGCTCGCTCGCAGCTGTCAGAACTTCCCTGGCTCAGCCTGGTCATATAACTACTTTGATTTAAATGGGGGGTGGGGGGAACAGCCTGAACTAGGGGTGGGGCCATGGCCCGCTCCCCCCCCCAACCCCAGCGACGCCACTGCCTTAAAATACATCTCTTTAGGAAAGCTTATGGTCTCCCAGAGTAACCACTACCTCACATACCTGTCTCTTGCTCTCTCCGAAAGAGCAGCACTCTACTCTCTCATCCAGCTCTGCTTCACTCCCACCTAATTTGATCGTTCCTGTAAGTTTTCTTGTAATTGTCCTATTTATAGTTACATCCACCCTCTAATAATATTGTAAAGCGCTACGGAATCTGTTGGCACTATATAAATGGCGATAATAAAAAATAATAAATGTTGCATGTTTTTTTATAATGTTCTGGGTGATCACTTAATTCTTCCTGCAAATACTGAATCATGTGTTGTTACTCTTGCTAAAACTGGCGATGTATTGCCCCAACTAATCATTAATAAGATAAACATTTTATCTGCAGACTTGGCTGGTTTCCATCCATTGATCTCATATTACCAAGTGGTATCTTGGTGAAGCTGGGTTCATGCATGTATTTCTCTCCAGAGGAGTCTGTATCAGGCTTGGCACTGGTCAGGTGTGACCCGGTCATCACTGTTCTAGAAATGGAGCCTCTTGGCATATAGACAGAGACGATATAGAATGGTCCTTCATTATCCTGAAATCTGTCAAATTTTCATCATTAAACAATCCATAGACAGCCCTTCCCCTCCCGTTTTACAGTAAATGAGGCAACATTCACTCTGTGATTTCATTCTTCCATATAGACAGTGGACACACGTTTACAGCGTAGTATGCTATAAACTTTTAAGATTTTTAGAAATGGGTTGAGAGATTCCGTCTGGGAGGGACACATGTACTATTACATATCTTTCACAATTTGATTAAACAGCCAACTGATATTCTAGTAAATGAGAAATATGACATTGTGTGGGAATGCGAATATCATTCACTTCATCCATTGAGCAATACTACAAACACTGCCAGGTGGGGTATTTCAGATTCTGTCATTCACACTGTGCTATGTGAAGTGCGTTCTCCCATTGAGCAAGAATTTGCAAAAAAAAACCAACAGAGAACATTTATGCAACCAAGAAAAACAAAGTAATAGGTCACATATACGTAACCTTCCTTTAACTCTTGTGATGTTTAATAACCTTGTAAACATGCATCAGTTAGGAATGTACTCTAATTTGTTTAGAAAATGCACCGGAGACAGAAGGATGTCAAGAACAGAGAATGCTTATGGGAGAAAGGGGTTAGACTGAGTTAAAGGGACATTAAAAGAACCCTTTGGGGACCATAACAACTTCAGTGTCCAATTGGTCTGCTCTGCTATTTCGACCGCAATCTGGGGCTTGAAACAGGAGGCTTTGAACGTCACTGCTTGACTTCTTTTACAACTCTGACTGGATGTCCTCCCGCTTTCTGAAACTCAATCTCTCTAAAACTGAGCTTCTTATCCCCCCCCTCATAATGCTGACCCTCCTCATGGTACTTGCATCAACTCGTCCTTGCAAACTCGCTGTCTTGGTGTTATATTTCATCCTGGTTTCACCTTTGCACCTCATTTCCAGAATGCTGCGAAAATTTGTTAATTTCACCTTAAAAACATCGCCCATGTTCTTCCCTTTCTCACACAAGATGCTACCACGGAGCTTGTAATCTCTCGCATGAATTACTAAAATTCTCTCCTAATGGGTCTCCCAAGAAGTAATTAATGCTGCTGCCAGGCTGTTCTTTCTCTCCTGTCTCTCCTCTCACACCTCTATCGATCCTTACACTGGCTTCCTGTACCCTACAGGTGTCAATTTAAAATACTAACCTGTACCTATAAAGCTCTAACCAACTCTAGCCCCTGTTACATTTCTTGACCGAATTGTAGATAGGCCTCCTCTCGGTCTCTCCGCTCTGTCGGTGACCTTCTGCTTACTGCTAACTCACGCTTGCAGGACTTCTCACGGGCGGCTCCCTTTCTTTACCGCCATCAGACTCTCCCCTAGTCTTCAATTGTTTAAAAAGTCCCTCAAAACACATCTGTTCAGAATAGCTTATTGCCTCCCTGAGTAAATTCTATTTCACAAACCTGTCTCTTGCTCTCTGGAACTACCAAGGAAAGGTAGTTCCTTATTCCTTTGACTGAGTAAACATAATTGCCATGTTTTCCGAGGTAAAGAAAGCAGTGGAGGAAAGGTTACACTGTATTAACCTCATGTGCACTTCCTTTTTCTTGGTTGGCTTTCTTTGCGCTGTTGTCCCTTCCTGCTTGCTTTTCTAGGCTACATCTGGAATATTCTGTGATCCCAATATGGGCACTGTGAGCCATCCAAGAGTAAATGTATGAATAATAATTATCTACATAATCATGTGATCTCCAACAATCTAACATTGATGTTGTACGATTCAATTTCAACTACACTCAGCTGCGATTCCTATTTGATACAATTTATTATCAGCGCTCCATTGGATCATACCATTAGGAGATACTGCAGGAACTGTTATTATAGCGAGAATTTGGCTGGATTGATGTTTGCACTTACCTCTGGAGGGTTTGGCATTGTGATCGGGTCCTCTTAATCTGGACATGTTTACACCCTGATTTTATGTGTGCTTAATTGCTGTTTGATTAAATTTTTATTAATTTGCTGTGTACATGTTGCACTTTTTTTTTTTTACTTATTTTATTCAATTTGATATAACAAAGTGTGTAAATCTCTTGTCTACCCAATGCAGCTCAATGAGAAGTCTGTGCAAGGCAGGTGCTCTGGACAATACCACAATAGCTGGCCAATGGCCCGGGGAGGGGGGAAACTGAAAGAACGGTAAGATTTTCTCTGAAAGTACTAGCCACATCTCCAAATCAGCTAGTTCACGAAGGAGGAGCTCTGAATTATCATCCATACAAGTACAACAGTCATACGTTCAGTGAGATGGATAGTGTTACAAAACAACGTACCAACAAATTCCACAGGGTACAAAGGTTCGTTTGTACCAGGAAGAATCTACTAAAGTAATACAAAGCGTTGCTGATGGGAACTCACAAGGAGATAAGATCAAGGACTTCAAAATTAAATCTCGATTTATCCTTCCTGGTAAAACATTTATAAACAATGATCCCTGTATTGAGAAAATATTGGTGCTATGAAGGCTTGCGCTATACTCAGAGCATGGATCACAGTTTCTGCACACCTACCCCGAAGGTCCAACTCCTAAACCTTGCACAGCGGCGTGACCGATGAATACGACAGACAGCCTCAATGAGTCACTCACGAAGCGATAGTCTTAACGGACCAGCAAAATACACTTCTACTCCTTGTATTAATCCCACCGGTGCTACCATTGTTAAACTATCCTGTTTGGATCCCTGATTAACCCTTTAAGGATGGAGGCAATTGTCCAAGTTCTAATAGCAAATCCTAGAATTTAAAATATATGTCTATTGAACAATAATTGATCTATTTCATATTAAGTGCATCCACACTTCTCATATATAATTGTTTTCAAGAGAAACATGGCTTTCATTTCACTTCAAACATTTATATATGAAAAATAAATCAATATGAATAAAATCTAAAGAGGTTTGAGAAAACAAGTCCAAATTGTGCATGACATTTTAACTGTGAATGTCATAATGCAATAAAATACACATTTGTATTCAGTGATGTCTCACACATATAACAGTACCCCTCTTGTACAGGGTTCATGGTGTTTTATAAAGTTACAGAGTCAAATAAAGAGCTTGCCCATTTCAGTTTTTACACATTGTGTTCAGAAATGTCTCACGAGTACAACAGTACCCCCCCATGTATAGCTTTTATGGGGTTTTGGAAAGTCAAATGGTAAAATATAGAGCTTACATTCTCTAGAGTAGACTTTCTGCCTGGGTTATCAGGCAGGTCCCCCAATATCTAAATAATAAACTAATATAATTATATATAAAATGAGATGAGTGAATACAGAATGAGGTCTTGGTGTTGGTCGTTTGGTAGCCGAAGGGTGCATGAAAGAATACCCAAAATTGTGATCGAGAGAAGGTGCTGGCTGCTATGTTGTGATGGCCAGGTATGTGTATATGGATAAGGTAAGGTTGCTGCCAATCAAGCCAACTTCCTAATTAGCATCATTATTGTTAGTGAGGATCAACCTTTATTTATAATTTTGTTTTGTCTGAGTAGCATTTGACAGATATCCACAGTAATAATACTCCCAGTAATGTCTTTAAACTACCAGAAATGTTTACAAATCAGTCTATATAAATAAGATACATTGTTCTTCCTCCAAATTACAGTTTAGTTCTATAAATTATTATTAGTAAGTCACCTTAAACTTCCACAGTCACACCTCTATAATGAAAGTGGCCCTCTCAGTCTATTGGGAATGTTGGGAGGTGCAATTAGAAGATTTCTGAAGATGGAGATTCTCTGAACCAATGCTTGCTGCTATTCTGCAGGTCGACATCTTTCTTTTAGCACACTTTCTGCCATTTCTCAAAATGTATACAAGGGCTTGATGGGGCGCAGAAGAAAATGCAAGAGCATGTAACGCAGGGATTGTGCCACATTGCAAGTCTGGGCACTTTTACTGTGAATTTCTCCTCCCCTGAATGTTAACATTAGAAGTCGGATTGTTTATTCATTCTGTAAATAACGTCTCAGGACATTGCTAGAACAGCTGCGTGGAATGCCCATTATAAGCTTTTAGTTTTTCTTTCATTTCTCGCCTGAATGCCATTTCTTAGAAATCACTGATCATGTCTGGTTATGTCATTAGCAGATAAATGAGAGCTGAGGTGATTGCCAGACCTTGTGGCCTTTCCTTTCACATCAACATCAAAAGTGGAAATACAAAGCTAAATTCTATTTTGAAACCTGAACTAATATAAAATGAAGTTTAACCCATTGATCCCCAATGTACTCACCTTTTGCTCCAGCTCCCACTTGGCGTCCCTCTTTTGGTCAAACCTTGGCTGTGTTCTGGCAGCAGGATAAGAAATGAGTTAGGATCTGGGGGCATTACAGGGATTCTTTGCAGGTGGGAAGAACAACCTACGCTGCCATACTTTGTACAGATACTTAGTATAAATGTACTTATTGGATACGAGCAGGGCCACCTTAAATGCTGATTGGACCCTGGTCTCCCCCCTCTAGCATGCTATCATGTCTTTCACCTAAACACACACACACACACGACTTAGCCACACTTATTTTTCAACTAGAGAAAACACACATACAAACACTGACACAAATACAGATACACACATACACATACACAGGTACATACATCCAAAGACAGATACAAAGACACACTGGCACGCACACACACAGACAAACACACCCTGAAATACATGCAGATACATACAGACACACACACACATAAAGACAAACAGATACAAACATTGACACAAATACAGATATACACATACACAGGTAGAGACATCCAAAGACAGACAGCACAGGTGCATACACAGATACACACTAACACACATACAGATAAACAGACAAACACACCCTGAAATACATACATATACACACACACACACACAAAGACAAACAGATACACACACTGACACGCATGCAGGAACACAGACACACTTAATGACTAACATTCAGATACACAGAATGACACATATAGATGCAAACATTGACACACAGATACAGAGGGGCACACAAAGATACACATATAGAAAGATGTTCATACAGAGACACACAGATACAAATGCATATACACATATAGACTTCCCTAGGGTCCAGTGACTGGCTGTGGCTGTTGGGAGTCAGGGCCGTCTTTAAGATCAGACTGGGGAATTAAGTCCGGAGAAAAGTGAGGACATGGTGTGAGTGATTGTGGGAAATAAAAGCCAGGAAATGGTCTGATTATACCGAAAGCACCAATAGGAATGAGGGATAAGGTGTGACAGCCAAGCTCAGCGTGGGGGTGAGTGTGGGCACACACAGGGTACAGGGGTGAGTGTGGGCACACACAGGCTAGAAGTAGAACGGAGAAAGTCAATGTTACTCTGGAAAAAGCGGAATTGTGTGAGCTGAGGGTGAATAGTACAGAATCAAAATGGACATGTGAGAACAGAAATGGCAGGTGAGTGTAAATAGCAGGTGAGTGTAAGTGGGACAAGACTAGTGAGGGAGAGGGAGTCGTGCTACTAGTCTATGCTCCCCCTTCCTTCCTCCCGTGCGGCTGCATTAGCTGGGATGAAGTGACAAGCAGTCACTTCCTCTTAGCGCTGACCTGATCACAGGGGGACGGGTCTTGCTGTTAAAGCTCTGCAGCGTTGACTGGGCCCCTGCAGACTCATTGCGATCGGGTGGCCCTAAAAGCATGGGCCACCCGATAGGCCCCCTCACTGGTAGTTCCACACGGGCCGTACGCACCACGGCGGGCTCAAGGGGCAGCTGCTTTGGACCCCCTAGGAATAACTGCCCCTTTTGCAATGCGTTAAAGACGCCCTGTATACGAGTATTGGGCACACTAACACATTATTTTACATTTTCTCACATAAAATGAAAAAAAAAAAATACATAAATACAAACACTGTGCCGACATCTGTAACACCTTTTCCTAAAAGTATGTAAAAACAAAATAATACATAAAACTGTGTAAATGGACATAATGCTATTTGTAGGTATCCCTGAGCTGCTATATATCCATGAACAACAATCCTGTAAAGTATACACAAATAACTGGAAAAGATATCGTTAGGGAGGTTTACAATTGAATTTTTAGTTGTCCCTGAACAACGATCCTTTATTCCCCTTTTATGCGTAACACCATGACATTTTTCAGATAAATGTTATTTTTCGAAACAAAGAGGATTTGGTAGTGGAAGGGTTAAAAACCCCTTAATGCCGGGGCAGAGGGGGCTTGGCTGATGATCAAGCAAGCTGGAGGTTGCAGGAGCTCCCAGATATTCACTGGAATTAATGCCACCACATTAGATTTTACAGTTAACATGAGCAGCCAACGTATTGCCTCGGTAAACATTCTGACACGGTTGTGGAATGCGGTTTTCCGGTGTAGTCGGGTGCTTCTTGTATTTTTCAGTCTGAGGCCCGCTGGCTTACTGGTCATAGCAATAGCAGCCAACATCAACAAATATCATAGCTAATAAAATCATAGGGGGACTCCCTACCACAACTGCAGACACAAGCATCAATCCCTTTATTTAAAAACAGAAACACCCTCTCTCAGATAAGAGTCTTTATTTCTGAAAAGAATACTTTTTGGTGTAATTAGTACTTATTTTTTATGCTACAATGATTTATGCCATAGACTGTGAACTGGGTGTAGTTTAAAATATGTGATTTTTTTATTTTTAAATGTCTTGGAGATGTAGTTAGTAACAGAAACAAAAGTGATTTAACTCCTAAATGTCAGAGAACTGGGCAGTGACAATGCAGGGGAAGGCTTTGGTGATTGACCTTTCAATTTACATTACATGGCTTACCACTGCTCTGTTACTGGGATTTCTCCACTGTTAACCAGTAAATGATACATATTAAACATTACATGACTTAATCGCAGCTTTTACCATCAATCATAGAGGGTCTGGATAAAATGCTGTACTGTACCACAATATCCATATCAACAAAGACAAAAATACTTTATAAAACCAGCATCGGATGGAAAAATGGGGCTGCGAAGAGGAAGATGGGTATGATAGAGGGAGGTGGAGTTTGTAGACGGCACTTTAAGAGATAATTGGTAATAAATAAAAGCTGGTATAAGAGTGACGAGATTTACCTAGAACACAATGTAAGGACTTGTAGGACTGGGGACACCATGAAGTAAGTATTAACACAGGAACGGACATCAGCAGCACATAAAGGATTTATTTATGGACTTTAATTTAGCTAGACCTGCTGCCTTCAGTGGTAAAGGTGGAGAAACACATTAATGGGGAGACTGACAGCATTTCAGGAACCCAAAAATAAAATAAATAATGAAAGACTGCATGCAGCCTGTAGTATTGGTGATCTCGTGGTATCCTGCAGGGTTACACGATGAGTACAAACTGAACAGGTTTACAAGGGGGCAAAAACAACTCACTCTTGCTGGACTATTATTCCAAATTCTTTGACACATAATGGCATCCAGACAATTCTTGGAGTCCAACAACAGGTGGTGGTAGGGTTTTAGAAGGTTCACTGTTTTAACATAAACTAGCTGAAATAGCAAAACTATGGAAACACTGTCAATAAATGATCAGACTGAAATAAATGATCTGGGATTATTTGAGGGGTAAATATAAATTCCCACAGCAGATCTGTTCTCTCTGAATGCTTTCTCAAGCGATGCGAGGTGCAGGATTTAATAATCCCATCAGCGATCAGACTTAAAGGAAAACTGTCTTTTATTACTGACAAAATATGACATGCAGTACAGCCTTGCTTTCTTATATTTTTATTGAATACATATACATTGAAGGGACCCTCTGGGTACTATAACAACTTCACTGAAGTGAAATTGTTATGGCGCAAGGAAGTCCCTTGTGTTGGCTTAACTTTAGTGGTTGAACTGTTCATGAGTCCAAAGTCTTCTCACCAGCGCCATTTCGCTCACTCCTCCATGAAAAACCTTGAAAACTAAACCCTTATACTGCCGCTTGGCAAAGGGGCGGCTGATGCTCTAAGCCAATTAGTAGCTCCCAGTCACAAAATGACTTGGGAAATGTACGCATGTCAGAAGCACTACCTCTTGGCTAAGACCACGCACAATATGAAGAGCTGAATCATGGCAGAACTTCCAAATAGACATTAGGTATTCTTGCTATAGATGACCGCCCCTCAGAACAAGACAAGAAGAGGAGGAGGAGTTGAACTGAACAAGAGGTCTGTACTTTTATGAATGCATTACAAAATAATACGCACAGGCTGTAATACATGTCATTGTTTATTTAAAAAGTTGACAGTTTTCCTTTAAACTCACAGTTGTCAGGTCTGTGGGCCAGTGCTCAAGCAGGGCAATGCACAGACCAATATGGACTGCCTGTACAGTAATACAGTAACAATGCCCACCATTTCATGACATTTGCTTAATGGTGAACATGCAGGTCTTCTATTATTCCGGGTTGGTGAAATACAAACTTCTCGGTTAATTCAGTGGTTTCTTTACCCTTACCAAACCAGTTTAACACCCACAGGGAGTGGTGTTCCAGTTGTTCAAATGCTAACTGTACACAATTCTATAAAAGGGGTGACAAAAACCCCAAACCCTTCCCAAGTGGCCATCCAGGTTTACAGACTATTAAAACAACACAATTAGAACCTCGATATGTCTTGTGTTTTGGTAAAAAGGCATTGACCTCTCAGCTGTGATTCCCATAAAAGTCAATCAATTTACAAACACTTTGGTCCCAGACAGGGCCAGATGATATTCAGGTGTCCCCCGCAATGAGGCTGCAGGCGCGGTCAGTCTGTGTGCGCAGTTTGCAGACAGGTTCCATATTTCTAGTTTCTGCTGCCACTTGCTCTACCCATAGAACAAAGTGAGCTATTAATTTAATGTGTTCCTTAAGGAGGAGGATGGTGGGGGAAACAAAAAAATTTGAATAAGATAGACATTCTCTGCTGACCAGTTCTTAGAGACTTCAGGGAGAGTGAAGGAGCTGATATTCAATCCATTAGCAAATAGCTTAACACTGTCAAAATAAACAAATTCCCCCAAAATCACCACTCTTCCACAGTTGGGGTCTTTGCAAACTTGGGGTCTAAATGAAAAACCTTCAGCGCAGAACGTACGAAGCATTCCAGCACTCAAAGAGATAAAAAGAAAACACTAAATAAACAATCATCATGGGATCCTGTAGTGCCAATACAGACACATGTTGTTATAAATAAATAATACAACAAGCCCCTCCAGTACAAGGAGATGTGGCTTCTACCTCTCCAGCCCCCAAGACCAAATTCCAATAGTGAAGATCCAGAGAAGATGGAAAAAAACAGGAGATGGCCACTGGCCGAGCTGCCTCTTCTTCCAATGTAGAAGCATCTGGACCATTTCAGAATTAGGGGAAGGAGGAGATTATTCCAGTCCTAGGCAGTAATTGATGCCTTGTACCAGTCCAATGATAACCGGCTGCCAGGCAACAAGGTATCGTAACCAGTCCAAGAGTTGGCCATACATGACGTGAGGTCTCTCCCATCTGTGTGGGCGTGGGTTAAAGACGCAAACAGTATGAAAAATAACGCTTAGCGCTCTTTAAATCAGGGACAGCAGGGAATTTATCAGGCCCAGGGAGCTTTGCATGTCCACACCCTCCCAGCCATTAATTTACTATTCACTACTGTACAGTAATACCTGCAGTTTATTTAAAAATATCTTGCATGCGTCACATCCATCAGACAGAGCTGATCTCATCTACAGCATCAGGAATTATATAATACAAAGAGATTATAGGTCACCAGTTCTCAGTTTCCTTATTTAACACTTCCCTTATTCTGTGGCTGATAAAAATGACCTAAGCAGAAAAGTGGGACAAAGTTCTGTAGACATCCCTATGGAAACTAACAGAATTTCCCGGTCGATACTACTGGGTTCCTGGCTGATTGCTTTACTGTGAAAAACGTGCTAAATTACCCTGTTTGCAAATCGACTGGTATCACTGGAACCTGGATGTATCCATACCGAGACGGGCAGCTTCAGATTATGAAATGAAAATGCCCCCCCCCAATTGCTAAATTTTTACTCTGCCATTTTCTCAGAAGTGCCTCTAGTGGCTGTCAGAGTGAGAGCTCCTAAGAGGCACCGCCATCGCGCCCTAAACTAATCATGTTCTTTTTAAAGAGCAGGAAATTTCATCTATACATAGGGCTAGCCTATTTAAAAATTATTTTTTTCCCCACTTGTCAATCAGTTATTCAGAATAGATTCTATAATGAAGAATTGATTGACAGGAGAGCAGAAGGGACAAACAGCAGACAGTCCTGCTCTCCACACATAGCAAGCACAGCACGTGCTATG